CCAAATTCCTGTAATTTGAAAAATTTGAGGCTTTATATATAAACAAAAAACACACTTTTGGGTTTTGTTTTTTTTTTTAATGGGAAACATCCTTTTTTAATGATTAATAATCGACTTAACAAGCTTTACAAATTATTTATCTTGATAATGATTGTATTTCATTAACAGTAGAAGTTATCAACTGTTATGAGAAAGGGATTGGTTTCATTGAAATATAAACTCATTTACTTAATTACAAAGTTAAGTATTAATTCAAGATGATAAATGAATGAAAATTTTAGGAACATTTCCAGCATTTAATACTGTTGCTATAATACTTCATTTACATATATGTAAAATCTTTAATGGTCAAGTAAGATATATGTTCATCAAAATGATTCTAAATGTAGACTGAGGAAAACCTGGTTAGTTTTTGTTGTCCCCCAGCCCTTATTTTTCATGTTTACCTTTTTTTTTCTTTTTTTCTTCTTTTTTTTTTCTTATTATTTTCCCTTGCTCTTCAGAGATTTATTAGGTTTCTAATATGACTGTTTTTATTGCCATTACATTTACATTTATCTGGTTTTATTATTTATGAAGTCTCTCAATACTGTACTTGCCTTATTTTTTTTTTAAATGCATTGTTATAAATGCAGTTTAACTATATTTGAGCAAGTATAAGCATAATTCCTCTCTCAAAGTAAATGCTTTCTCAAAGCTAAAGGGAAATTCAAACAATGCAGTTTAAATACATAAGTGTTACTTTTATATAGAGAGTGGAGAGCAATAAAGATTGAACTCTCTATGCTTTAAATTATTTTCTGAATTACTAACTGCTAAATAGATTCAGTATTACACAAGATGAGGCATAAAAAAATGTTCATCTCTGACTCTTTGTTCTGCATCTACTTTCTTTGTTATTTCTTCATGATAAGAAAAAAAACTAATATTCAACATAAATGTACTTGTTTAAATAATTTTCAATGTTATTTTTACCATTTAATTTGGTATTAAAGTTTCTATCAAAATATTATTCATTTAAAATGTTCCTTCTTACAAAACCAAAATGACAATCTCAGTTTTCAACAATCCATTTCTTTTTAAGTTCTTCAAAAATGAACTGTAAGTGTTTAAATATTAAAGATAAGGATAAAATTCAGACTGATTAATAAACATTTTTACAAAAAAAAACAAAAAAAACATAGCACAACAGAAAAAAGGAAAAATATAAAAATTATAAAAAAAGAATTTTATTATTATAAAAAAAATAAAAATCGGATGATGATAATGTCCAAAAAATTTAAACCTCAAGAAATATCAATCAAACTTATAAGCATTAAGCTAATTCATGACCATAAATTATCATAATAATAAATAAGTATCAATATCTATATATAAAGAAGATATTTTATCAAAACATGAAAATAATCAGAGAAAAAAATACTATTTCTGTTCCATGTTATATTTGTATAAACATCTTATATATTAAATTTAAGAAATTGGAACAGAGGTAGACCTACTTACTACAGAGGTAGTAATAGTGAGACCTACTTACTACAGAGGTAGTAATAGTTAGACCTACTTACAGTTTCATGTAAACACATTTTAAAACAGTTTCATGATTTTCTTTTCTAAATAATTTACTAAAATGTATCTATAGCAGCAAATATAAATGAGTTCCATGAAATTCAAATTTAATCCAAAACAAATTATTATTAATATCTATAGTCATCAGTGAAAAATAAAACCAGAAAAATATTTGTTTTCATAGTTCTTGTTTTGTCTAAGCTAAAATCTAATTCATATAGCAGCATGGAAAGAAAGGCTGTATAAAGTAATTAAATGCAACTATGTTCATTTTTTTTGTTTAATTCAGACAAATGCTTGCTGCTATAGATCAAAATCAAGGTGATTTTTGAGAAAAACAAAGTTGAAGTTGTAATCAAAGCTAACACTAATACTATTATGTTTTCAATTAAAAGGTTCAATCTAAGGAGCTACTTCTTGAAAAAGACTGGAATAGAGACATTTTAATAAATACTACAAGCTAATATACACATGATATGTAAATTAAATTTAAATTCAGGATAAGCATGGAAATGAATTCACTTTCACTTCAAAGTGAAGCTTGAAAAGACGTTTGCAATTTATGATATATTTTGAGTTTTCAAATCCTTTAAAATCAAATTCAACCTTTTATCCAAACATAATGTCTTGATTTTAGATTTAAAACCTAAACTGTTGTTATAAATCATTTTTAAATGTCATATTTCCCGCCATATAAGCCACACTTTTTCCCCTCCCAATGAAATTACTCCCAAAATCACCCTCCATCCATCATTGTGGTGTTACCATTATTAGATTAACTCTTTTGTTTTAACACATTAGTCTCTTCAGGACCCTCAAATGAAATATGAATGATTATAAATGATTAAATTAGGATTACAAATCAAAATAATGTTAAAATGCATGAAATCAAGAAATAAGTATAGATGAATCATCAGCTGAAACTTCTTTTTCCTTCTAAAAATTCCTCGCCAAATTACAAGTGGGAAATATGGTGGGAAATACAGGTTATAATTATAAATGAAAGGCACTTTTTAAATAGTCAAAATATTTCAACCTCTGTTTAAACAGCAAAAGTTTAACAGGTGAAGTTACAATCAAGAACCAATAAGTTTCCTCTGTATTTAGTTTTAATAAGTGTTGACATATAAAAAAAAATTAAAATGAAAAACTGTAAAAAACAAAAAAATTGATAAAGTCACACTTGAACAAGATTTCAACAATTTTCATTTATCTTCATGTAATTTTAACAAATAACAAATTTGGATATGTTTTTAAAAAGTAAAATGAATGATGGTAGCTATGGTTACTTAGTAAAAGAAAATAAAGATATGTTTTTAAAACCTGGATATTTTAAGATAGAAGTAGCCTCTTAATATCAACTTATATAATGATTTAAAAAAAAATGTATTCTAATTTATGATCTGATCTTCAATCCTGCTATTTACAGCTAGGGAATGGAGAAAAATATATCAGCAGTTAATAAAAATTGCAGATTCAAGGAAAAACATAAAAATCTTGTCTAAACACAAACAATAAGAATCCTCAATAATTAAAAAAAAACTAAAAGTCTAATTTTCCCACAATATTTCTAAAATGCTTGCAAATAACAAGAATGGTAATAAAGTATAGAAAAAAAGAGAACAAAAACAGATTGTATTATATTGTGAATACACATTATTTTATGAAATCAATTCTTCAGGTTATAGAAAACAAAACTGTTCATTTTATTAGCATTCTAAGGTTGGAAATTATTCTTAAACTTAATAGATGGATATAATAGAGAGAGGAAGGTCAGTATTGACATTAAAAGGAAAATATTTGAAAACAAAAAAAAAAAACAAGTGATATAAAATTTGACATTATTTATTATTTTAATTTTTTAAAAAGTATCAATGCTGTTAAGAGTTTTATATAAAGTATATTCACAATATGACATCTTTAACAAAAATAAAATTCATTTACTATGACTATTACTTTAAAAATATCGAATAAAAAGAAATCGCTTTTATAAAGAGCTAAGATTAATATATTAAATGTCTGATCTGTACGAGGCTCCACAGTGTGGGTGAAAAAGCAGTTAAAAAATGTTGGAGGCAATTTTAGCCAAGAAATGCAGGGATTGTATTATATTGACTATTATTTAACATAATGTAAACTTATAATATCTCATAGCTGTATAATTAGTACTCAAAATACATTCATATAGAATAAGTAACTAAATTGAATAGTCAGGATCAGTCATTGATAATTAAATGTCTGAATAAATTAACTTCTGTGAAGTTCATACACATAAATTTTTAGAGATATTTTTTTTATATATGATAAAAATATATTTATAAGTTATGTTATAGTTATGAGTAAAAGAGCTCAATATCAGAGATAGGGCACATGTAAATATAAAAGTGGACACTGAGGTCAACACCAAGTGGTAACAGTCTCTCATCCTTGAATGGAATTTTCATGGTCTGAAGATTGTTCAAGCATGAAGCTGACTGTCGCCACTTGACCTCGGTGTCCACTTTATTTATATATATATATATATATATATATATATATATATATATATATATAAACATTGTGGATGTAGAAATCAAAACTGTATAGTGATTGGTAGCTTTATGCCTTAAGCAATCTAAGATGATCCGATGATTACTTAAGGCTTGAAACTGTCAGTCACCATAAAGTTTTCATTTCTCTGTCCACACTGTTATATACAAATGCTCTATCTCCAATATTGAGCACTTTCTCTCATAAATATAGCAGATTTAAAATATATATATATATATATATATATATATATATATATATATATATATATATATATATATATATATATATATATATATATATATATATATATATATATATAGAGAGAGAGAGAGAGAGAGAGAGAAATTTAACTTTTCAGGCTTAAATTAGCCATGCAACATGTGATTACTGGATTGATTAATCACATTTTTGCCTTTACTTGATTAGGAAGCATGATAATATATTGTGAAAGAAATAAAAAAAATTATTACAATGACCCAATAATCTTAAAATGTCCTTAAAAAAATAAAGTAAGGTAAAAAAAATAAAAATATTAAATATTAAAATAAGAATAAAATAAAACACCAAGTTAAAGAAAAAAAAATGGCAAGATTAAAAAAAAAAAAAAAGAAAAGAAAAATGCTTTTAAATGAAAAATTCCCAGGTAAGAAAAAATGGTAAGATTTACACTCTAAAAAAATTTTCTCTTCACAAAAATGAAGAGTATTAAATTTGTTGCCCATATTAAAGTCTGTTTTTTTTGTTTTCTTTTTTTATAATATGCACACAAATGCACAAGAGCAGTGAAATTGGTGTCAGTACAGAGGTTGAAAAGAAAAAAAAAAACTATGGCATAGTAGCGGCAATAGAACGAGATGCAGGCCATCTGGTAAGTCTTTTGCCTATAGTCTCCACATGGAAACCAATATCTAATAATTCCTGGTGATTTAAAATTATTCGTCCATCAAAGACAAAAGCTGGTTTCAACATTGATTCATACAACTGCTTGTAGTCAAGACTCTGCAAAAGAATAAAATAGAATTTTACTTTTAAATTGACTAAATTTCATAGATGAAGCATTTTAATTTTATTCATTTTTAATGTGCTTATTTCAGTTTGTTATTATTGCTTTTTTATTTTAAAGTTCAGATCATATTTACATTCTATGGACATTAGTTTTTATACACCTTATAATAATAAAGTTAATTTGTTTGGAAAATTATAGAGAGACATGTTTACTTTTATATTTTCCATGGAGAAAATTCTCCAGTAACAATAGTGAAAGAGATACATTGGAAAGTAAGATCCATTAACTGACCCACATGTTGTAATGATGCAATATGCATAGTGGAACGATAAGGAAATGAGAAATAAAATATTACAGGTAACCTGGAAATTTGAACCTGGAATTAATCCATGGCTTAATAATATAGTCCAGTTATCTCTAATAGTATCTATTATCTTGATCCACATTCCTTGAGATTCTGGCCAGGCTGACAAATTGGTTTGCATTTATGATATAACTAAAATGAAACACATGGCCTAAGAGTTGTTTGTCATTGTGTATGTAAGGTAGAAAAAGGGAAATATTTCTAGGGAGAATCTGATAAAAGTTGATTGAAGAGAAGAAATTCTCCAAATTGTTATCTGGTTCCAATGTGCAGGTGGTGTAATGAATAACAGCACTGAATGTGAAATTGGATAGCGAAGCTCAAATTCAAGTCAGGTCCATTACAGTCACTTATGCACCAATACCTTTGAGAAAAATAAGAACTCATCTCTTCCCCCTGCTAGGAGTTAAAAAATAAAACTTGTATCTGGAAAAATCATTGTAATTCTCAAGAAAAAAAAATTATTAATGCAATATTTGCTCACAAAAAAAAAAAAAAAAAAAGAAATACAACAGAATTATTCTTACAATCCAAAATATATTTCAACGTTAAATAACCCACAAAGGATTGATAAACTGTAAAAAAACAATCAATCAATCAGTATCTGGTTCCAAATATTTTTGTTGTACCAGCTGTAAAATTAATTTGAAATTAATGACTACTGGTGACAATATATTCCAGACCCCAGGTCAGCAAAATATATTCAAGACCACAGATCAGCAAAATATATTATAATGTATATATTGTAATGTAATTGTTATCTTTCATAATGGCTCATGTAAGCCGAAAGCTTAGATAGGATTAAAAAATATGTATCAATATGGTGATTTCCTTTCGTCTTTCAATGATAATGTTATTAAGCTTATCAGACAATATGAAAAGAATTTACATAAAATAAATAGACAAAACTTGTCTATATTATTTAATGAAACATGCATCTCTCTCTCTCTATCTATATATATATATATATATATATATATATATATATATATATATATATATATATATATATATAATTATTTATTTAAAATATCATATTTTTAAATAAATAATTATATTTTATGCACTACTTTTGTATCTAGCACTATTTTTAAAAAATAATAACTAAAATACTAAGGAACTTTGGATTATTTACCTAACCAGTTCCTTCCTATTTTCTATATATTTTCACATATTATATATATGTGTGTGTGTGTGTGTGTGCATGTATTTGTGTATATGTGGGTACGTGTATGTGTTTTTATATTTGTATATATGCTGTTCTTTTGTATGTTTGTGTGCATATTTTGTTTGAACATGTAAGTTTGGTTGTTTGGTTTTTGTATATGTATGCATATGTGTGTGTTTGTATATATATGTGTGTGTGTGTGTATATATATATGTCTTTTTTTCTTTGCCTTTTTCCATAGCCTGATATACATATTTCAACTACATATATGTATGCATCGTACTTATACATGTCTTTGCCCTTCTTACTTTTATTTGATTCCCCTTTTTTATCTATATGTTTGTTCATGTTGTTTTATTAGTATATTTATTCTTGAATTTTGGTGAGTCTGATTATTTGTATATAGGTATGTATGTGCGATTGTTTGTATATGCTTTTACCTGTATATACATGCGTCTGACATAATTTTCTTTTGTGTGGATTTTTTTATGTGTTTGTCTCTCTTTATTCTTCTTTTAATTCTTATTTTATTCTTTATTTCATTTTCCTTTTTTTGAATTTTTCTATTTCCTGCGTGAATATCTGTCCTTATATTTGTGTGCTTATATATTTAATTATATATACGTGTTTGTATATTAGGATGGTAATGTGTTTGTCCTGTTATTTGAATAATCCCCTTCCCTATCTACCTCCTTATTTGAATTCAGACTTCCATGTACCAAATATGTGTAACGATCGTAGATACTTCTTACATCAGCATCAAACTTAACTAATAAATTGGCACTTTGCTAAAAACAATGAAATATATCATTTCTCAGAGCTAAAAACGATTTTACTTACCACAAACTCATCCCATTCTGTACAGATGACAATGGCATGGGCTCCATCAGCTGCTTCATAAGGGCAGGAAAAGATATCTACAAAATCTTTCACTGCAACAGTAATTGAACACATTTATTTTTCATAATGTGACATGAAAAATACAACAGATAAACTTAACAAGACACAACTAGGATAAAAATAAGTGAAAATATATTTGTCAGTAATCAAAATTGAATTAACAAATAGGATAATGATGATAATGACTACAAAAGTCATCATACTTTCTTCTTAATCAAATTAACATATTCAATTCTGATTTAATATGATGTCATTACATTATACCTTGGTCATTTTTCTCTCTCAGTTGTGATGAGAGAACAATTTGTAGCAAGCACAAAACTATTAAATATACATTATATCAGTTGCAATGCATACACAGTAGTCTAAATGTTGGGGCAACCCTCTAGATTTAATAATTATGAAGTTCTTTCGTTTAACTCCTACTAAGCTCAGATGGTGAAACTATTTAACCCATTAGTGTATAGCATCCAATTTTTTAGAGAAGTGGTTACTTAAAATTTTAAATCTGCCAGCCCTAAGATTACTACTCCCCAGTAAGGTAGATGAGGCAAAAAAAGCTAAAATTTTATGGAAACTAAGCAGTAATGGGTTAATTTTTATTATTATTATTACTGAATATATGATAAATGAATATATGTTCAATTATTACCGAATATATCATAAATATATTCAATTGTTATTGAATACATGATAAATAAATATATTCAGTTATTATTGAATATATAAATAAATAAATATATTCAATTATTAGTGAATATATAAATAAATAAATATATTCAATTATTACTGAATATATGATAAATAAATATATTCAAATATTACTGAGTATATGATAAATATACTCAGTTATTATTGAATATATAAATAAATAAATATATTCAATTATTACTGAAGATATGATAAAAAGCTTTCAGTAAGAGAAAGTCTTTCTGGGTTGAAATGAGTGAGTAAATTAGCTTTGAAAAAGGCAAGCAACCTTCAATTTTTATGATTCTTTGAAATCACAAGGGTGAATATACAAAATTATTTTAAAAACTAGTTCATCCATGCTGTTAAGTGGACTGACAAGGTTTGACAAGGCAATTAGAAATGCCTCATTTTGTCAGTGAATATCAGAAGCTTTTATTGAGCTCTATATGCTGAACCTGTTCCTATCAGCAGGTGTGACAGGTACATCTAGCAATAATAAACAAGTGGTTAAAAGCATTGCTTTCTAGTTTCTGGTAAAGGTTGTCAGTTCAATCCTTCTGCTGGGTAGTACAAATGTATACATCTAAATAACATGTACTGTCAAAAAAATGATGTTAATATTTTGAGAAATTTTGCACTGATTATATTTTCTGCATGAATATTTTAAGATCTTTCTCTATACAATTCTATTGTCGCATGTACAAAGAATTCAGCTTTTTAAATAATTAAAAAGTAAAGTATCCAAAGGAAGCTAGCATGAAACAAATAAAAGCAATATATTAGTAACCTGATCTCCCTTACTTACCAATAAGATATTATATTGCTGTTTCGTTAACACAAGAAATGTTCATTTAGTCATTGTGTAATACTTCCTATTACTATAACAAAAGTACAGTTCAATATCAAAAATAGGGGAGATTAAGATGTATGACAGATAAATATAAAAGTCACATTGTGTTTTATATTATAGAATGGTAATGGTAATATTATCCATTACCCTATAAGGAAACTGTTGTAACTGAGTTATCAAAAACAAAAAACTGGAATTGGTTTAACAAGTTTATTACCTTTTGGTACAGGGAAACATAATGTAGAATAGAAACTAGGGAAGAGAATGTTTAGCCGTGAATGACTTTTCAGCAAAGGCTACTGCTGCTACTCCTTTTGATGTAGGAGTGTTTTTATGTCTTTTGTCCAATGACTGAGTCCAAACTTGTAGGGAAATATTCTCCCTCACAACAAACATTCTGCTTTCATTGACCAAGCAACCAGTGCTACTGTCAGTTGAAATTTATAAAATCATTCAATTAAAACAATTTTTCATGAAAATAAGTTTCTAAAGTCCAGTAACTGTTATTGCTCTTTCCAGTACTGATGGGAGTTTCCTTCCTAGCCTTTTCTTTGAAGTAGTGTGGAATATCAACATTTTGATTATGCCATTATTTTCTCTTAGAGTTAGTTATATGTGCTATCCATAGATGATATCATCTACATGGGCATGGATTTGTAATAATAAGGAATCAGAAAGTTATATAATTATTCTTTAGAAAAGACAGAGATATTTTATTATAAAAAACATTTTTTCTTTAGATATTATAAATCAAAATTGATAGTTTCTTCAACAATAATTAAGGCAGATAAAAAAAAAAAGAAACGCTACTTCCCTTTTATTTCATTGAGAGATAAACAGGGTGTGGCAGAAATAGTAAGACATTGGTGGCAATGGTGTCTTCATCTCGCTAATGTCTTACTATTATTTGGGAGGTATTTCTGCCGCACACTGTACTAAAGCAGGTAAATTGGTTTTGTCTTGCACTTTTAAGATAGAAATTAAACCAGTTTCTTTTCTCAATATTTCTGTAATTTGTTTACTATCATTTCTCAAAGATTTTTTTAAATAATGTCACAAAATAGAAGTGAACTGTATGATGATAAACAGAAATTAACCTGGCATTGTCATCAAACATAAAAGTACACAAGTGTTGTAATCTATACATAAAATAAATTATGATATTTCATGAATGAGAATGTGAAATTTAATCAGGTATTAATTTAAATATGGAAAAAAATCCAATATAATCTGAACTTCTTCCCTTCAAACAATAACAGCATTATACAGAGTGGACCAAAATTCAGACTGCAATTGGAATATAATGACCACTTGTGAAATGGCAACTGGATAAAACTTGTCTGACATCATCTAGCTTATTAAAGCAATAAAATTTTCAAATGATATATTGTCGGATGCAGAAATATTATTTCATTTAGCAAATAAATATAAAAATTTGTTTTTCCAATAATAGTGCAACTTTTGGGTAATCTGGAAAGTGATTATATTGAATAAATTGTTATGTCTATTGTCAGGAAAGTTGCTTCACTGTGTTGTACTAGACAAATTTTCAGAATTCATATTGCACATTTATAAATCTACTATTCGACTGTGTATTGAATATTGCTGCCACATCTAGTCTGATGTTCTTGCTATATATCTCAAGATTCTTGACAAAATCCAAAGAAGGGTCTGTGTAACATAACTGATCCAGACCTGGCATCCTGACTTCAATCACATTCTCACCATGATGATGTGGCTTATCTCTGCCTTTTCTACAAATGTTTTCATTACAATTGTTCTGATAAGCCTTCCTCCTTAGTGCTTCAGCTGCATGAATTTAAGTATAATACTAGTTTGGCAACTAGATCTCACCATTTTACTGTTGAACCAGCTAGATGTAACTAATAGTATCTTCTTTTCTAATGGTTTCCTTTCTCACACTTCTCGCTTGTGGAAGTCTTCTGGTTTCTAGCTTCCCTGCCACCTACAATCTTCAAAAATTTAATTACAATGTCAATCACCATCTTCTATCTTCCTGTTCTTTTATTGTCCTTTCTACTTACTAAAGTTTTTCCATTCTCTTTCACTCCCAGTAACCCCTTGCATCTTACTGGCATTATCAACTTGCTTGGGATAAAATAATACACATTGCATTAAAGAATGAAACAGACTGTCACCATTTGGTGTTGATTTGATTTCATTGTCCACTTTTATATATGACTAGCAGCATGGCCTGGCGTTGCCTGTGCTTGATTCAAAAATCGTACAACTCATACAGCAATCGCTATCACTTGACTTAAAATATTTTTACCCTTCCTTGCCTTTAAAGGAGTGCCCTTTGCCATGCTGATGTTGCTACATGCCTTACTTCTTGCCTATCTCACACTGCGAATTTTTTTAAGCTCTATACTAAACATTAAATCTGTTATGAAAAAAGAACTAAACAAAATGAACACAAAACCATCAGCTTTAAAAAAAAAAGGACTCGTAACTGAAAAAAACGAATGAAAAAAGAATGTTAACAATGAATCAGAATCAACGTTGAGTTTAAGCAAGTGAATGAGCCAATTGGAGTAAAGTGCCATGCAGATTTAAATTTTTCCCACTTGTGACGAATGCAGCTATCGATTTTTTTTGCATGCTAGTTAACATTCGTGTCAGTCAGCTGTTCAATAGAATCTTCTTGCCTATTCATGGCAGCCAGCTATAGGCTCTCACTCTGGCCAGTACAAGTTGAGTATTTGACTTTCAGTAACACTCAACCTTGAGTGGCTCTTGGGCCTTGTAGGGGGTGAACATTAGTAAAAAAATAAATAAATAAAAACAATAAAATTTAATTAGAAAAGATTATTTACAAAATATAAAATAATATCACTTTTAGCTTAATTTACCCACCAAAATGCAAGAAAATTATAAACTTTATGTCAAATATTTGTCATTTAGTTCAGTTAATGTTACTAAATATGGCCAAATTTAATAAAAATTCCCTTCATTTTCAGATCTTAAAAATATTATCAGAAGTAGTTGCAGGATTCTAATAATTTACAGATGTTCAGCTAAAAAAAACTTTCAGAAAAGATAGACTTTTTATTACATAAAGAAAAGCAGTTACTATTACTTCAAAATTTAAAACAAAATAAAAAAAAACACATAAAATAAAAACAAAATCATATTCTCGTAATATAAATGTACTTACCCTTTTCTGGTTTATCTGTGATCATTGGATGCATCAAGTCACTAAAAATAAATAAAATTTTAAAATATAAGTATTGTATCCTTTTGCTGAATTGCCTTTTCTGAAAGGCTTCAAAATATTATTTGCCTGTGAGTGTTTTTAACCAACAATTTAAGACTGATTATCACTTATACATTTGAATTAGAAAGTTGAAAAATCATGATAAACTAAAAATTATATTAGCTAATTTTTAAATTTCAAACTCAAAACTATTTCTTTGCTAAATAATAAACAAAAAAGCACAGTGTGACAGAAACAGATATCAGTAAATGCTGAGAAGTGAGAAGAAAAGAAACTTACTTCATGATTTGTTTAGGTTCAACTTTTGGGTCATAAATACACACATTAGCACCTTCTTCCATTAAATGCTTGCAGATGTAAATTGCTGAAGATTCCCTGTAAAGAACAAGAGGCTGATCTTTAAAGTAAAACTCTAAAATGGGGAATATTTTTTTAAAAAATAAAAAATAATAATCAAAACTTTACAATATCAAAAAATACAGCTTCATTTGATTAAAAAAACTAGTAAGAAAAAATAATTACACTGAGTAACACGATATTTGTCCTTGGGTAATAACTAATATTTCCTATTTTCTTATGCCTAGAAAATAGGAAAAATTGCAAATATTTCCTTCAGACTTTGCTTTTGTGATCAGGATAATGATATTTCTGAAATTTATCTATTCCCATTGGAAAAAGTGACAAATGTGAACATTCTTGTTCACAAAAAGTAGGGATAAAATGACATGTGATTCAAAAGAAGCATTTAATTATTCTAGGATTACACAAGAGAGACAACAAAAAATTTAGAAGTGACTAGTTTTTCATGATTTACACATACTGTAAATTATTTTCATGAATCATCCCCCAAATACAGTATCCCATCATGTTTTTGTTATACAATCCTTGGTAGCTAGAATGTTCTAGAAATTCTTGAAACTTTTAGAAACTTCCCAAAAGTTCTTGGCACTTCTAGAAAGTTTCAGAAAATTCTCCTTCAGCAACTCAGCATTGAATCTGTTTGGGACGTAATGAAAAATAGGTTAGTTTAAAAACATCGATGTCCAGGTCACAAATACAAAGTTTGAAGGGAATAATATTCATTTCCTTTGCTTTCAGAAGCAATAAGGAAATAACAATTACTGACCAAAGACAAAAAAAAATGTCAAAATTTTGTTACACAGTGTTATCAAACAAGATCAATTGGGGCATTTTGAAGAAAAGAAAAAGAAAACAATGAAAGTTTAAGGATAGCAATTAGAATTCTTAAAATCTTGTGAGAAATATGACAGTATACTTGTGGTCAGGATTTCACAAATAAGTTAATTAAAATAGGAAGACAATTTATTAACAGATAATCAAAAAATTAGGTTAGTAATTAAATATCTTGTTCAAGACAAGGTTGAAGATGACTTATGATGAATATCTACTTTTAGAACATAACATTGACAAGACCCAAATATTATTAACAGGAAAATAAGTAGAGGTTTCTTATAAATTTCTTAGCCAAATAATTAAGTGAAAGATTAACAAAGTTAAGTAGGTTATTAAAAACTTGTAAATAAGAAGATACTGAGGAATAATCCATATATAGACTGCCCCAGCCAGGAGTCCTAAAGTACAAGCATAAATCTAGAGGTTGGAGTATAGGCATAGATCTAGTGAGTCAGGGTGGGTCCAAAGTGTTGCCCTTGCTTGTATAAAGTCAAATTTAAAAAATAAAATGAAAATTTTTTGAATAGCTAAATAAAAGAAAATTATTGTTGGTTATTTCCACATTTATTGCTAGTTTCAATAAGAAATTGTTAGAGGGTGCTATTAAATGGCCATAAAAATCGGACACATCCTGTTCTCTCTGTCTCCTCTCTTTTCCTTCCAGCATGAAGAAGACAATACCAACCGGGATTTCCCCAGGCACATGGGCGATATCTTTTCCCTGAGTGACTGAACTTTCACACACAAACACGCACACGTGTATGTGCACATCCACATAATTCCTAACTTGTAATGCCTACCTTCTTTTGCATGCATGTTCATATATTTCCTTTTTTTTACTCAGTTATATAAAAACAAAAAAAATATAAAATATCATCTTGTTGAAATTTATATCATTTCTTTACACTTGTAATTTACATGTGTAAAATATTGTTACTAGTGCTTTTAGTCTAACTAAAAATAGTGTTTTGCAACATTATAAATAAAAAAGTAAAATATCTCTAACTAATCATGAATAAACCTTAATCCTTTGAGTCCTGCGTTCCTGAACAAATTTAACTCTTCTACCTGAGCTCCGAGTCAAAATTCGCAAATAATTGGTATGTAATGTTTCATGGTAGATATAAACATAGTTACAAATGTTTACCCACCATTCAACCGGTGATTGGGCATTACATAATTTTTCTCTACACCAATAAAGTAGTTGTCAGAGCTCAAAGGGTTAAAAAAGGTAATTTCATACAATAGACAACTCCATCCACCATAAATTTTTCCATTTGGATATCACATGGCTCAAAATTCTAGATCTGTTAGTAAGTATTAAAAGTATTAAAAGGTACTATATATATATATATATATATATATATATATATATATATATATATGTATATATCATTTGACAAGATCGCCATCGTCAGCATCCATCCATCTAGAGAAACAATGGAGTAGCGCAGTGCGCCACGAGCCTGAGTGGGATATATGGAGAACTATGGCTGCCCAGATGTCTAGTTCCCCATCTCGGCCTTGCTAGCAGAGTCCAAAGGAGAGGATAAACCAATACAGTTTGGTACCAGCACAGCTGCAGGAGTTGCCGAAAGGTAGCACAAAGTGCCGTCCATCCGCCTTAGAATTCAGAGTTGTCCTTCTCCTAGACCAGTTGCCATCCAAGGCTATAGAACCCAGTCTGTCCTGCTATTTATCCATAGCTGGAGGGAGGAGAAGAGGATTCACACCTTTCCCAAGGGTATTAGCATGTAAGTGAATGTAATGGATTCAACTGGAATTTGAACTCAGCTCTCCGATACTTCAATCCAAGCCACTATCCATTACTCCACTATGCCTCCTTTTGACAAGATAATGATTTATATAAATCATAAATCATTTGACAAGATAATGATTTTTGTGTTGATATTTGTAGAAGAAACATGCAATAACAAGAGACTTTAAGGCAAAATATATAAAGATAAACTGTGCTTAAAGTGATCTATCAATAATAAAACTATAATGATCTCATCTATTTTCTGAGTTCTTAGTGTTACTGCTAGTTACATTTCTTTTTATTATTATCAAACTATAATAACTTATTTTCATTCATTGATATACAACCAAGTTTAATACAAGCAGCTCAGTTATGGAGCAGACAATCAGGATCAAACTCATTACCAATGGCTTGTGAGATATGCTCACTAATTTTTGTACAACAATGAATGCTATAAATTCATTAACTTGTTCTTGAAATATAATAAAAACAAGAATGATTTTTACCCATGTTTAATTTTTGTTGCCATTTTATTATTGTAGCAATAAAAATTGTCAAGTACTTGTAATTATGACAGTTTTTGGGGTTTTTTTTTTTGACACATATGTATGAACTCTAAAATATCACACAGAAAAATAAATAGTATTTTGAGGCATCAAGGATTTCATATAAAGATGTGTTTTAAAAATGTTGACTTATACAATCTTTTCTATACTCTATTGTCTTTTGTTAGTTATTTCAAAATTTAATTCTTCAAGGTCAAGGTCCCAAGAAAGCAGCTTGTGTGACCTTAATGAAAATTGCTATCAAGCAGATTCTTTTCCCTAACCTTTGTCCTGCTCTTGAAATGCGAGTTAAATTGTTTTATCCATTCTACTATTCTTTGGATTCAAGGAAATTAAATCTATTTTTTAGTCTGAATGATATAGTTGTTCATTTAAAGTGAAGATTTTCCCTTTGTAGAAAAGAAATACAATTGTCTCATGTTAAAGATAAGGTCTTGAAGATGCTTTCAAAAATGAATATTTATATTTATTCAGTTATTTTATGCAGAAAGCTTTAAGCAGAAAAACATATGAAACAAAGAGTTAAGATCAAAATCAAGAAGAAAGATATGAGCCATACAGAGAAATAAAGAGAATAAGAGCAAGACAGCAAGCTAGAATAACGGGAAAAAATGTATTACTTCCATCCCATAATAGTTGTGGCATCTGCATACAAATTTAATACAAATAAATTTAATAACTATTATGGGATAGAAACAGTAATAGAAATAATATTAATAGACAGACCTCAAATGTATTCCCAATTACAAAATTAAAAGATAGAAAGCTATTTTTTGAGATATAAGTTTCATGTATATCTTCTGAATAAAATTGTCTATTGTTGAAAAATTTCAGTTATTGTTCTAGAGAGGGACGATCCCAGTATGTGACACCTTTAGATATATGCTTGAAAACTATATCACGGATTGACCCAAACCTTACGAATGAAATTGGGTAGACGGAACACTTGGGAGCTGTTGATAGCTGTGCTAGCACAAAGTCACAAGTCATTGTGGCCAAGGGCTTGAGTGTGCTGACATTGTTCAGATTGTTGATCATGCTAGATATTATGCTCTCTCCCAGAAACTGTAACTAAAGTTTGATCAACATAGTTGCAGTAGAAACAACAGATTGTCTCTGTGGGTGTTGAACAAACACAAATATGCCTGAGCGAGTGTCTGCAATAGAGAAATCTTTTTAAAGAAAAATATAATCTGTTGATTCATAAATAAAAAAATCCATTACTTCTTTAGAAAATTGCTTTGTTTACATTTAGATACAAAACTCAGTAGATATGAAAGATTTCAAGAGTCTATGATGAAAGATTTCTTATAAAGGCACTATACAATCATGCCTGAGTGGCTCTTCGTAGATCAACTGATCTAGAGCATATCAGATCTATGATGGTTCTCTCTGCTCAGGCAGATGCAGGTTTGCATCCTGCCAGAGAATATATATTTCTACTAATTAGACAACTTGAAAGAATCAATATAAAATAAGTAGACACAATATGTCTATATTATTCAACTATATATATAATATTTATTTAAAAATTATAACATATGTATGTTATAACATCACTACAAAAATACCCATTTTGTTTTAACATTTCGGGTGACTTGTCAAGTGATGGCTTGCAGCAAAGTGTTGAAACAAAATGGGTATTTTTGTAGTGATGTTATGACATACACATGTAATAATATTTGAATAAATATTATTTGCTCTACTCTGTATTGAGCACTTTTTTAAAAAAATAGTGTTTTTGGTTACTGGAAGTCTATTCCATCTACACCAACCTTTTATATATATATATATATATATATATATATATATATATATATATATATATATATGGTTATGGTAAAAAAAGAGAATTG